GAAAGGGATCAAGTCATTACGTAGTTCAAGGAAAAAAAGATAGATTTTTTTTTTTAGGAAATGACTGAACTTAGAGATTATCTAAGCTGCCTACGTACCCCGAGTGGATCAAGTCATAACGTAGTTCAAAGCGTTGAAGGGAAGATTGAAGGGTCAAATTCATCAAGAACTTCAAGATCTTCAAGTCAAAACCCGTCAAAGTTCAGCGTTCGATCCGAGATTCAAGTCGCAAGACCCTCGGAAGACGTTATTCAAATCCAAATCAAATACGGAGAAGATCAAGTCAACGACCCGTCTCCGAAATTCAAAGTCAAACACATATTGTTCTGGAGAGAAGAATCAGAGGATCAAATTAGAGTTTGTAACCCGCAATATTTATTATTTTAATTCAATAAAGGGTAAATAGCATTAAACCACCTAAACTTTTTGAGTTTTTGCGGATCACCACCTGAACAATTTTTTTTTGCACAACTTCACCTATACTCAATTAATTGTGCCACTTTACCCATTTTTGCCGGTTTGCAGGTCAAAATGACCTGTTCTCAACCCATGTGCATCGCACATGACAAATCCAAGGATATTGACGTCTTTTCCATTTTTAAAATTGAATAAATGTTAAATAGAATAAATAAAAAATAAAAAAACAAAAGAAAAAAAAGAAAAAAAAACAACAAAGGTCTTCGTCTTGATCACCAGCCTTGTTCACCAGCAGAAGATCCACCATAGCTACTATTGCTGCAATTTTATTTCCCCCAATCACCACCATCATCAGACCAACAACAACAAAAACGCCGCCATTTATCCGTCAGTAATCAGCCCTAATTTCACATAGCTCCTCCTCATAAACTCATCAAGGCCAACGGCGTTGGCGGCGGCATATCATATTCAACCACCCCACCCTACTCATCTAACTCACAACTTTCATCAACCATTTCTCTCATATTGCAGCCGCTCACCACCAGGAACCAGCTCTGCCCTCTTGCACAACCACGAAGCTCACCACCACCACCACATCTTCTTCAGATCCGCCGCCATCTTGATTGAAATTGGACCTAAATTTAGGTCTAAAATGTTCATTTAATTTCCCCCTTTCCCCGATTGAGGTTATATGAACACTATTTTCTCTCGATTTCTTCCTCCGAATCGACTAGATCTTCTTCCAACGAATGGAGGATTAGATGAGATTCTCACAATTGAGGCCGCCCCATGCCGCGGCGGAGGTGTGCGGCGCTCGGCCGTGAGATCGGGTGTGCGCAGGTGGGCGGTGGGTGGTGAGATTGGTGCGACGGCAGTGGTAATCCTTGAAATTGCAGAGGCGAGAAAGTGTTTATATCGGTGGTGGTTTGTTCGGAGTTTTCGGGCCATGGGTTCAAAATCCAGGCTGAGTTGCTGGGAACAAGATGACGTTTTACTTTTTCTTTTTCTTTTTTTAATTATTCTATTTAAGAAAATTCCATTTCAAAAAAATAAATAAATAAATAAATTAATTAATTAAAATTAACATTTATTCAATTTTAAAAATGGAAAAGACGTCAATAGCCTTGGATTTGTCATGTGCGACGCACATGGGTTGAGAACCGGTCATTTTGACCTGCAAACCGGCAAAAAAGGGTAAAGTGGCACAATTAATTAAGTATAGGTGAAGTTGTGCAAAAAAAAATTGTTCAGGTGGTGATCCGCAAAAACTCAAAAAGTTTAGGTGGTTTAATGCTATTTACCCTTCAATAAATTATATTTGTGCAATTCTTTCTTGTTTGTTTAAATCGCAGATAAGAATTTTGTTGCTACAAATTTTGCGTATATAGTTGACTTGTCCAAATACTTATTTGACCATATCATGAAACTTGTTTTGCGTATATAGTTGACTTGTCCAAATATATATATATATATATATATATATATATATATATATATATATATATATATATATATATATATATATATATATATATATATATATATATATATAACGCCGGGACTTTGGAATATTTGTAACACGAAGAAACTCGCTTTGAATATATATATAGTTGACTTGTCCAAATATATATATATATATATATATATATATACTCCCTTCATTCCATTTTAATTGTCTTTTTGGTCTAATTCACACATATTAAGAAAACTAATAATTGTGCATGGATTCTAGAAAAATCATAATAAAATGACTAAAAAACCACTTTTATTAAATGTTTAACCATTAATTCTCTTAATAGTTATAAGGGCATAGTTGAGAAAACACAATAAGTACTCCATTGGAATTCTAAAGTGACAATTATTTGAAATAAAAAAAATTCTCTAGAAAAACAATTAAAATGGAATGGAGGAAGTATATTCTTTTTGAAAGGTTGTGGTTGTGTGGAAGCTAAAAAAATTTAGCCTGATGAAAATGTTTCCAAAAAAGGCCAAAAAAAGGTAAGACCAAGAGTGAATGTATTCTTTTTAAATACGTATATAATGATTCATATAACTCCAACTACATTCTTTGAATCAAGAACTAATAGGGGGCCTTTTGCGAACCTAGACCAGGTTATATTCACCAGCCTCCCTACATGATGACACGTGTATTATTGATTTTTTATTTAATTAGTGTTTTTCTTTTTCTTTTTTTCTAAATATATTATTTCTTAAACCAGAGTTAACAAAATCCCACTAACTTAGGTAATAAAGATATTTTTCTTTTCCACAACCACGTCTTTTCGACTTCTCTTCTACACGTTCTGTATATGTTCTTCAACAAAATATTCATCTTTGTAATTTGAAGATTTTTTTTTCTACAGGTATGCATCGATGTAACACATGAAATTAGTAGTGATAACTATTTTTAGTTGTTTTACTTTTTTATGTTTACCACATGCAGATATGGAAGCAGATCCATTACCGAGTGCTAATAACACGAATTGCGAGTCAGAGGAATGTATATCAGTACAATCATTAGAGTCAGAGGTACCTAAGTCCTTAGTTGAAGAATTTGAGCAGAAGTTACAGGTTGGTCAAAAAATTACCAGTCTTGAAGATGCATATTTATTATACTGTGAGTATGGACGTATTAAAGGTTTTAGTGTGAGAAAAGGAAAACAATCATATTTTCACGACAATAGCAACGAACTTTATATGAAGGAATTTGAATGTTCCTGTAAAGGAACAAAAGATGAAAAATGTAGTTCTAATGGTAAACAGTCAGCCTACTTGAAGATGGAAACTAGATTTGGTTGTGCTGCAAGACTTAGAATTGGAAGGAAAAAAAATGAAGAATGGAAAGTGACTATTTTTTATATTGATCATAACCATGACATGGTTGCACCTGATCAAAGTTATATGTTACGATCAGCTCGTAGCATTTCATATGCTAAAGGAAATACCTTAAAAGCATTGGTAGATGCTGGATTTTCGATAGCTAATGCGTATTCTTACATGCAAATAGAATCGCACGGGAGAGAAAATGTGGGGTTTCTTAAAAAGGATGCATATGACTATCTTAATCGATTAGCTAAAGATCACAGACATGTTGAAGATGGTGATGCTGCTGAATTGATCCGATAATATACCAAAAAATTACATAAAAGTGAGATGGATGAAAAGTATAAGGGATAGAGTGCAATTTAGTGAAGAAAGTTCATGTGCAGATAACCAAGAATCTCAGACGGTCTATGTGAATCATGCAATGCGATACTGTTATGATCTTACGATGCGAAGTAAAGTCCATCCAGAAGCTAGAAATTTGGTGAGAAACGGGCTTAAGGGTGTTCTTTCAGATCTAAATGCGTTACTCGATAAATTGAGTCTGGATCATTTATCCGAGGGTTCCAAAGTTACAAGTTTGGAGGTTATGGAAGAACATGATATGAATGACGAGTTTGTGCGGAATCCTCTTTACGTGAAGTCGATAGGGGTCAATAATGTTCGCTTACCAAGCCATTGGGATTCAAAAAATAAAAAAGGAAAAAGAAAGATTGAATGTTCAAGTAGGTTTTTCAAATAGATTTACACAATACTCTCACTTTGCTTTATTAACAATTTCTGATGGTTTTTTTTTTTCTGATTTACTAGAGAAAATAACAAAAGGCGCAGGAAAAAAAGTGCAGACACAAATACATTCAAATGTTCTTTCATCGAAAGAAGCTATTGGTGTTCTTTCCTCACAAGAAGCTATCAGTGTGCAATCCTTACAAAACGCTAATGTTCGTCATGTTCAAAATATCTCAATTGGCTCTCAATTTGGTGAACATCAAGCTAATTTGTTGCATCAGATATCATATCCGACAATGCACCACCCGGTGAGTTACTTGTTCTCCAACTTATGTAAATATATTTGACCTTCTCTAATGCTTTACACATTTCGGCATCCAGGGACAAGGCTCAAATTATCCAAACATGTTCCAATATTGATCCCTATTCGTCACAGGTTGCATTTCATAATTTTACTAATTCTATATTCTTGTGTAATTGTTGAGTTATTTTCTATGCATGTTTCACTTTGCTTATCAACTGTGTTTGACTTGTACAGGGATCTATTAACAATAAAGAGAGGCCACCTGAATTTCATTAGGATATTTCCTTGTTCTATATTTTAAGTTAAATTCAATAGTTGGTTTTAGTTTGAGGAATTTATATTTCACTAGGATTTTCTTGTTCTGGTTTTTTATTTAAATTCAGTTGTTGGTTTTAGTTTGAGGATTTTCAATTTGACTATGATATTTTCTTATTCTCGTTTTTTAGTTAAACTCAGTAGTTGGCTTTAGTTTGAGGATTTTCAATTGACCATAACTACAGTTTTTCTCGTGTTTTCTTCAACTTATAAAGCTATATATGAATGATACCGATTATTCCAGTCAAGAAATTTCTGTAATGTTTGTGACTGAAGTTAAAATCTAAAGGTAAAATAGTTGAATTACATGTAAAAGAAGAAACCAAAAAAAAAAAAAAAAAAAAATCCGGCCTAGTGTCAACTCCTACCGCCAGCATGACCAAAAGTTTCATCTGTCAACAAAGCTCTCTCCTTGTTTACTGAAAGGCACCATAGTGAATTTTGTTCTATAGACAATTCCTAGTGAGTTTGCCTTCATTCAAAGTTCTTTTTACAATTCCGGTTTGCTCTCCACTTGCTTGCTAATCAGTAGCCTGCCTCCGTTATCAAATTTCCTAAACGCGTTTCCGCGATACCAAGCTACCAAACCCAGCAATTTGCACACCAGCTGCAGCCAGGAAAATAGCCAACAATTTTCAGATTACACATCTCAGTAATAAATCAAAATTAGCCAAAATTAAAATAGAGCAGTGAAAAAGAAGCTCAACTTTATACTCTTCCTCTTAACTATTAGTCTACGATTTCACTCAAGTTGGCTTAATATTAAACAAAATGACAAAATTTCATCAAGGTTTTCCTTTTAGTGAACCTATAAACCATTTTTTAACAAGAATATCTAAATGGGCACTGTTTAAAATATTTTTTTTTTGTCTCACCATTAACAACTCATCTAACTACAAATATTTGTAAATAAAGATGTTTCTATCTTTCTTTGATACCTTAGAATGATCAGTCACAGATAATCACACAAAGCACGACAAAAACAGAAGCAGGTAAAAAATAGAGAAAACCACCGCCTGACGACGTCGCACTACCTCTTGAGCCGCCACCAGACCCTTCGTGTTCGTGCTCGGCAACGTCGGCGTATTAAAAACCCATATTATACACCGGCGAGTACCGCTCTCATCGGCCTGATCAAGTTCCCTGTATCTACATCTCTTTCCCCGATGTTGCTCTCATCGGCCGGATCTGCAAAGATAATTTCTCAGAAATATTGTTGTGTTGTCGGAATAGAATGTTAGCAGAAGAGAGCTCCGTTGTGTTGTCGGAATTGAATAATAGCAGAAGAGAGAGAAGGACCAATTTTTTACCATGGATCGGAATTGAATAATAGGAGAAGAGAGAGAAAGGTCAATTTTTAACCATGGTTTAACAAATATTATATTAAAAAGTAAAGATGAAAAAGGCAAAACAAAATTAATTAAAAATTGAGTAAAGGAGACGCGTCAACAACAGACCCACCCGGTGATTATCACCGGGTGTAGGGTCGAAATAGCCCTAATAGGGTATGTATTGATGTTCCCGGTGTAATAAATTGTCGTATACATTTTCAATTTAAGTTTATGAGTTCAAATATCAGTAATTTTTTTTTAATTTTTTTTTTAATTTAAGTTAATTCAAGTACATTACAAGGGGTAGAGGGGGACTCCAACTTTAAACCTTTACCCTATTAGTAAGGCTAGGTAAAATATCAGTATTCCTTTAACAAAAGGAAAATAATTAAAAATAGGGTTAAATATAAGGGATAATTTGACAAAACTCCCTCATTGGAACCCTCTATTTACAAGGAGTCCAGAAAAAAATTCAATTTTTAAGTTAAATCCAAAATATTCTTAATTAATAAAAATTAATACAATTTCACAATTATACCCTTTTCTTATATCTCACCCCAAACCCTAGATCTTATATTCATATCTTCTCTCTTCCTTCTCTATTTTTGTCGTTTAGATTTCTCTACCGTCTGCAACAAATTCTTTTCTGCATCTCCTTCACCAGCCCCGCACTCTCTTCCCCAACCCCACACTTTCTCTCTTTTTGTCACTCCGGCCGACCACCATTCCCGCACCAGGGATCGCGCGACGGCACAAGAGAAGCGCAATTGGGGCGCGATCATTTTCGGGTTTTGGGTTCCCGAATTATTCAAAGAGAGATACATAGCAAAATTCAGTTGTAGCAGTGCAGGTTTCAAGAAGAAAACCGAAGTCAATCGGCCGAGCTATATCTCTGTTCTGGGCTGCGATAAATTCCGGTGATCGAGTCGATAGTGCCCTAAAAGACATGGCTGTTGTTATGAAACAATTGGACCGTTCCGACGAAGCAATCGAAGCCATCAAATGTTTTCGATATCTCTGCCCTTCTGAATCTCAAGAATCCATTGACATCTTGAACTGTACAAGGTATAAAAATATAATCTTTTCTTGATGTTATTATCGAATTTTATTTTTTGGTAATCATACGAGCGTGGTTATCAAATCCTGCTCGAGTTCGAGTCACAACAGAAATCTTCATCTGTCAAGAAAAGAGCGTTTACGGATTTTTCTTAACATAAAATAGCCGATTCTAATAATGGAGAACAAATCATGGACAAAAAGAAGCATCTTCTCAGCTCAAGAGGGCCTACGAAACTCCTTGCAGTAGTGGATTTTGTTGATAGGGGATTTTAATTTAATAATTGTTGGTCATGGGAATTTGTAATTAAACGGAGTGGTTTTCATGTTTACGTAGCTGTTATACAGAGTGGTTTTCATGTGTGACATAGTTGTTATACAAAGTAGTTTTCGTGTTTATATAACTGTTTATACAGAGTGGTTTTATGTTGACATAGTTGTTATAGAAAGTGGTTTTCAAGTTTACATAATTGTTATACATAGTGGTTTTCATGTTTCATAGTTGTTATATAAAGTGGTTTTCATGTTTATATAGTTGTTTATACAGAGTGGTTTTCGTGCTTATATAGAGTGGTTTTTATTTAAAAAAAAATTGAAAGAAAATAAAAAACACCATTTTAAAAAAAAATCGAAATTAAGAAAAAAAACCATGAAAAACCGAAAATAAAACTAAAACCATTTTTTGCAATTAAAATAAAAAACATGAAAATATAAATAAGAAAAAAAAAATTTAAAATAAAAAATTGAAAGTAAAAAAAAATAATTATTTTTTTTTCTTTTAAATTGAAATAAAGAAAACCATTAAACAAAATAAAAAAGAAAAGAAAAAAAAACTGAATTGGCGTGATGAGGGGAATAATTTTTAGAGAAGATTTGGGTGTAGATTATGGGTATATTTTTTTTCAAATTAAATAATTATACTAATTAATATTTAGTGTGGGGCATATATGGTTTTTCAGGCCCATTGGATTTATCTCAAATATCATTTTTTAAAAAAGGATTTATCAAGAATTGAAATCCCAATGAAGGGTGTTTGGCATATAGCCCCTAAATATAAATTGCACCCTATACTATCACCAGTGTCGCATATACCCCCTTGTACTATAAAATGCGACAAAATGGCCACTGACGTTAAACTATGTCAAATAATCCATTCATTTTGGGAGTTCACCGACCATTGCGCTAGATGTTGGATAATTTCAGACGAAAATACCCATGTGGTTGTGCATAAAAAGTGTGCATCTTTCTTCCTCTCTTGTACTCAATTTACTATAAAAAAAAAATTCTCATGTTTATTCCCTAATTTTATTATCCACAAATTTCACCAAAATTTTCTGAAAAAAAAAAGTTAAATTCTAAAAATTATTTATAATTTCCTTTTAAATTTATGAAATTTTGCAATTATGTTCCAGCCTAAAAAAATCACCCAAAATTTATGAGTTTTTTTTTTTTCTTTTTTGGAAAAGATTTTTACCCTTCTTTTTAGAATTTCGAAGATTTTACTTTCTTACTTTTCAGCCTAAAAAAAAATCTTGATTTAAAATGCTTCCAGTGGTTCTAATTATCCA